TGTTTGGCATAAACCACATTGTGGACAGTTAGTCACAGTAAACCAGTCTTATCACTCAGGAAAGTGTGGGTAACTGTTTACCAGTCACGTTCCCAGACACCAGCCAAGGGCCAACCTTGCTTACAGGTCTTTCTAAGGATCGGTATCTCAGGCCTGTTGCAGTAGTTTAAAATCGTTGCTTTCAGGTCATTTTATTTCTGTTGAAAGCTTTTTAAAGAATGATTCCTATGGCACATAAGAAAATTTAAGAATATATTTTAATTTTTATTACAGTATATTTCCTTCATTTATTTTCCTTTTTTTAATATTAAGTTTGCCTACTCAGCTCAGATTCATTCAAACAGAACTATTTTATTCACTCAGTAGACCATGGAGAACTTATAAAAAGCCCATTGTCCGCCACAGACCTCTAAGTATAGTATTTCTCCAAGCAGCTTCTCTTCCTTAGTTTTGTTGTCCCATCACTGTCACTCTTTTGCATCTTGGCTTTTCACTGCAGTTCTTCATTCCCATCTCAGGCCCTCCTTTCTCAGACTTGCTATTTGAACCTAGCTGTTGAACCATGTTTCTAGCCCACCTGTAGGCACTTGACCCTGAGCTTGCTTGAGCAGTTAGCACATGTATTCGTAGCTGCCTGGCCCATGTGCACGTATCAGAATCATTTATTGAGCTTCCTTAAGAGCAGAACCAGATAGGATACCAGAGATCATTGGTTTCTGAGAATCTATACCTCACCCTCCCAAGGAAAATGGACAAGAAGCCCTTCCATATTCTCTAGACAATCAAGGACATCCAAAAGTTACTGGGATTATTTGAATAGTTTTAGCAGTTGATATTCAGCTTCTCTGCTTATATTATCTGGACAACTATACTTTTTAGGAAAGTGAGAGAGATTGCTTGGCTCCTTGTGAAGCCTGTATGTAGCATTCTCATAGTTAACAAAGCTAGTAAATTTTTCTGTCTTCTTGGCCTTTTCTGACTCACCCACAAACCCACTGCTGAAATTATATCTGTAATATGCTATCGTGAACATCTGGTCTTCAGAGAACCCAGGTTCTAATTTGTATCACTGCATTTTCATTCTAAAGAAACTAGTCCCAGCTGAGGTTAATGGACCTGTGAAATCACTACCAATATAAACGCTGGCTTAGGGAAATACCTGCTACTTGAAGTGCGGCTAATCCCCATTTATGATACATTGAGACAACTAAAGCTCTAGAATAAGTAAGATCCAGAAATTAAGGTCCTATGTGGTGAGTTAATTATTTTACGTGAGTTTTTTTTTTTTTTTTTTTTTTTTATGATAGGAAAGTTTCTGGATTCCCATTTGCAAACAAAAGCAGCTATATCTGAAAAGGAAACAAAGAGGGAAAATTATGGTGGGAACTGTGTAGAAAAGAGTTAACGTAACACACCTGAGACTTCTATTCTTAAAAAAGACCTGCTTGCAAGGTTGGCCCTTGGCTGGTGTTGGAGAACTTGGCTGATAAACAGTTTCCTACACTGATATAAAAATTTCCCTAACTGATAAGAATGGCCTAAACTGTTTCTAGAAACAATGTGGTTTGTGTTAAACACCTACCTTCCTTCTGGGAGGCTGGAATTTTGGTATGTGTTAGGCAGAGGGTGCTTACCACCCCTCAATGAAAACCTTGAACACTGGTTAATGAGCTCTCCTGGTTGATAACTTCACACAAATCTGTTACTGGAGGAACTGAGCACATCCTGTGTGACTCCATTAGGACTCTTGGAAGTATGTGCCTGGTTTCTTCCAAACTTCTCATGCTCCTTTTCCCTTTGGTGATTTTGTTGTATATCCTTTAACTGTAATATGCCTAACTGTGAATATGATTATATATATTTAATCCTATGAGCCCTTCTTGTGGGTTGGTCTTGAGAACCCTAAACACAAGGGCTATCTCCCATTTCATACATTTGCATATTCAGAATGTCTAAAGGATTTCTGCAGAGTCTAGGGAAACTCAGCCCCATTCTTTTCTGTAACGAGAAGGGTTTCATTATTGTTATTTTTTTATCCTAAGTCCTGTTAGTCATCTCAGTCTTTTGTTCTGGATGCTATACTGCTCACACATTTTGACCTGCTGTACCTCAGTTTTATTCTGCCTGACACTCAGAATCCTTGTCTCTGCCCTCTAGTTCCCAGTTACCATCTCAGGCTCTACCTGTCATGTTAACTCACATGGACCCATTTCCCTAGGTTCTTGACCTTGAGTTGTTTAATAGCTGCTCAGTCTTGATTTTCAGCGTTCTGCTTGCACGCATATACCCAGAATTGCGTGGAGAATGCTTTCACCTCTTGTTCTTAACCATTGAGGCACTCAGTGTCTTCATCAGCATTTCTGACCTCCATGTAAAGGGAATAAATCAGGCAAAATCCACTATTGAAGGTCTGTTCTTTCTGTGGACCTGTTGCTACTTTCATGCTCCTTATTTATGTATATAAAGCTGAACAGAATTTAAAATCAGTATATGAAAGAGCAGGTTAGATGAGCCGTGCACATGTTTTTATTACTGAGAATACCTACAGAGTTAAAAATTCATATGCAACTCTATTATTCCATTTGGTAACTTAAAAAAAAAAAAATAAGGAAATGTCCGAATTTTTCATGGTTTCCTTTGAAAATTCTATTCTGGAAAAAAAAATGTTTTAAAAGAATTCATTTGTTTTAGCTTCTGGGTGCTGGAGAATATGGTTTTTTCTTTTTTTTTTTTTTTTTCCGTATTACACTCCGGGAACCCTTTTATTGGAAGAAAGTAGAAAGTACCATTCAAGTGATAAGGATATACTACTAAAACTGAAATATTTGAAGCAAAAATTCTGCTTCGGTGAGTGGGTAGGGAAGAAAAGAACTCATTGCCTGGCATGCAATCTGGTCATAGATGCCAAGAAAATGATCTTGTGCACACTGATTTTATCATTTAGACAGGCAAGATTCAGTACCCAAGAGTGGTGCAGGGCAGTTGTAATTTTGGCAGTAATCAGCATCTGAGGTAAGTTATGCGTGAAACCTGCAGATATCTTTCTGCATTTATGTCATTCATTCGTGTGAGACATGCTTCACTGTAAGTTACCATATTTAGAAGATGGTCAGTTTTGCGACAGTTTTCCTGGAGGTGATTCCAAATGATTCTTGACATGATTATCCTCAGAACAAAAACAGTAAATCAACCATTTCTTCCTTATTTTCTCAAACAGGGATAAAGAAGAAATAACCTTTAGTTGACCCACCGGTTACATTTCTCCATTTTCAGTGTTCATTGAGCCATTGGATATCAGTGTGAATACAGAGCAGTACATACATGACACTTGCACTTCTCTGTTTAACACCTTAGAGTTTACTTGCAGTCCTTCTACCAAGCCAAGAATCAATATTTTTAAGGCAAGAATCATTTTTTTTTGTATGTTACATAATATAAAAGTTATTTAAAGGTCTAGGGAGAGAGTTGTTAGAATAAAACACATAGATGATGGAGATCTGGAAATACATCTCGACCATTTCCTTTCAGTCTTACAGAAATCATTATTAGTAAATCTTTTCTGCAAGGTTGCGTTTTCTGGGCACATAACCTTGACGTATTATATGCTCTGATTGGGCTTAATTTTCTGATCACAAGTGAAGAACCCAGTGTTGAGAAACTTAACAATAGAGACAATATCCAGGCATTAGGCAAGTGAAGGCTAATGTGTGTCCATGCAGGGTATAGGTATTAGTACGTATTCGGGGCAAGACTCCCAGGGCAGTAAGTTGAATAACCTGGCTGAATTTAGAAGTAGAGACCATGGCAGACTCTCAGTTCAATATAAGGTGGGGGTAACACTAATGGGAAAGAAAAGTTGCACTTTATGAGCACACGTGGCTACTCACTAAGGAGACTAGAGGAGCAAAGCTGTCATAACTGGGCTCCTGGATTGCAGTGAATGATCGTTAATTAATTATGCTGAACTCTAGAGCATGAGGGCATTCATGCTGTTGATATCTGCCTTGTTATAGTCAGGATAGACTAAACAGCTAGAAAATTGAAGCTTTAGTTAGAGGGAGACGTCAGGAAGTCATGGATCGTAACCATCAGAAGCTGGGAAACAGAGGACCAGGGGGAGATGATATCGGGGTGGGAGGGCAGAGATTAAATGCCTACTTTTATTTCCATTTTAAGACAAAGTATCCATGATTAGGTGAGGTGAGTGAATTAAATCTCAAAAATTTTAAAAATAGGGATATTTATACATCTAAAAAATACTCATACTAATAAAAAGATGAGTTGCTTTTAACCCTCCCAATTATTCTGTGAACTTCATCAAATTTTAAAAATGTATTTTTGATCTGTGTGTGTGTAAATGTTTAGTTACTCTGTAATTCAGTAAGTAACATCTAAATGCAAAAGATAATTTAAAATGTTTTAAATTCAGATAATTTCCTATTATTGAACCATTCCAACGATTCATTCTGTATAACATAGAGCAGCTTGTAGTATAACCCTTGGCCCACTGATTAAATACATTCTTTTTCTGCTTGCATTATATAAACTATCTGTCATAATACCTGGAATAGTGTAGGAACTTAATAAATGATACCTAATTAGTATCGCCATTGCTAAAAGTAAAAAAAAAAGTCTAAACAAAGTTTTTGAAAGTAAAGACTTATATATTTTACCAGTGATCAATGCCATGGTTATACTTTTTTTCCCAAGCACCTTATGTAGTAATTAATCACATTGAGATACAATGGAGAACTGAGATAAATAATACAGTCATGCATTGGTTAACAACAAAGATATGTTATGACAACTGCATCATCAGGCAATTCCATCATTGTGTAAACATGATAGAGGGTTCTTGCAGAAACCTAGATGCATAGCCTAACATATCTAGCCTATATGGTATGGCCTATTGCTCCTAGGTTGCAAACCTGTACAGCATGTGACTGTACTCAATATTGTAGGCAACACTAACACAATGGTAAGTATCTGTGTATCTACATATCTAAACATAGAAAAGGTACAGTAAGAATACAGTATTATATATGTAATCTTATATATTACATGTATGCAGTCTGTCCTTGACTGAAACATTTGTGGCATATGACTGTAATTAAAACTTAATGTCCTAGGTATATAAACAAACAGTATATGAGACAGAAAAGACATCAGAAGTACACCTCAACATGGAATGTAATGACTTTAGAGATTACCTGTAGATATAAACATATTATTTAAATTATTTCCTATTACCTGAAGTTTAAAAAAATGACAGGTTTTGGGGCTTTGGGAAGAGGGTATAAAAAGGAAAACTTATCAAGAAACATGCCCTCAGGAAGAAAACTGTGTGCTTAAAAGCTAGACGTGAATGGGATTGCCATCTGCAGATGAGAAGGCAAGACCTCCAGTGTTTGGGAAGACATCACTTCAGTATTGTAATGTGACAGAAGAGACTGAGAACGACCCTAGTCACATTTATGTAGTCACCACTCCTGTGGTATCTGAGGGAAAGCAACAGCACAACCACCTGTGCTGCAGCTGTGACTGTCGCCTGGGCACTCAGCTCTGCAGTCCTTCCTTTACCAAGCTATAGCTCTAAGTAGTCCAGTATTCAACTTTGAGGTCAAATTTGAGGTCACACCAAAACTATAAAATAGATCTTGATATAGTTGAAATAATGAGTAGTATATGACAAAATCCTGCAGAATAAAGGAGAAAATGACTCCCCAAACTGTCCTTCATTACTTCATGTGGCTTTAATGCTACTTTAAGGAGAGGTGATCTCTTTGAATGAGAAAGGCTTATTAGTCAAACATCATTTTTATGATAGCTACCATTTACTTACACACCTACTGTGTGCCAAGCATCATGCTAGCCATTTTGTTTCATTCACTAGGTATACAACAAAGTACAAAACAAATCTAGACCCAAAGGGCATGGCTCACAGCCTAGCAGAGGAGATAAACTTCAAGCAAGTAACAAATGATTCAAAATTACAATAAAGGCTATAAAGGAAAAGAAGAAGTTACTAAGATAAATTATAACAGAGATTGAGTGTGTAGGGCACCTATAGGAATTTCATTAAGATGCTTTCAGCTACAAGGAAAAGAAACTCTGAACCAAAGTGGCCTGCACAATAAAGAAGTTTCTTCTCTTGGCAGCTCATGGAGAGCTAGAGCAGGTTTTGCAGTTGGTGGTTTCAGTGGCTAAACCGTATTATCAGGTGCCTGGGTTCTTGTGTTGGCTCTGCTGCCCACAGTATCAATTTCCTTTTAAGCCTGACTCTTTGTATGGTTATAAGAAGTCTAAAAAAAATTGGGTGTTTGTTTTTCTCTCACTTAAAAAGTTGCAACTAGGATTTCTTGTCTTCTTGTTCATGTCCAGCAGGAGAGGGAAAGAGGAGTATGCTAGGACTAAGTCCTTCCCTTCGGGCTAATTGGTGCACCATGGCAGAAGGACTGCTAGTTGTGCACCGAGATCCATGATCCTAAGTTTTTAGTGGGGCACAGAGCCACCGGGAGCAAAGATTACATTTCCCAGCTTTCCTAAGAACCAGGTGTGGCCTTTTGACTCTTTTGGTAATAGAGGTAAGTGGAAGTGATTTCTGGGCTATATTCTTACAAGGAAGGGGTGTACCCTTCCCTGTCCCTTCTTGCTTCCTGCTGCTGCAACGTGAATATGATCTGAAGATCTATAGCCACATGTGAAGATAACAAGGCAATATGGACCCTGAGTGCTTGACAGCTATAACACCATCCCGACCCCTGGCTATCTCCTTCTTTTAAATGAGGGAGAGAAATGAATTTCTGTTTTATTCAAACCACTAATTAGGAGAGTTTTCTGCCATGTGAAGCTCCAAACTAATATATTTTCCTTAAGTCATTGCCCAGACAAGGTTGGGTGCAGTGGATCACACCTGTAATCTCAGTGCTTTCCGAGGCTGAAGCAGGAGGATCACTTGAGCCCACAAGTTTGAGGCTGCAGTGAGCTATGATGGCACCACTGTACGCCAACCTGAGCAACAGAGCGAGACCCTGTCTCTAAAAACTAAAGTTGTTAGTAGACAGAGGAATGCCACAGCTGACCGACTTCTTCCTGTCAGTATTCTTCACTGGACTAAGGTTGTAGTTACAGAGTTTCTAAGTGATGGAAGTTGTGTGAGGGATGGCTGGACAAAATCCAGGTACCACTGAGAAAAAAGTAGGGAAGGGTTGCTGTGTAACTGGCCTACAGAGTGTGACCACTACAGAGATTATTAGTTAACCAGGCAAAGAGAGAAGAGCTGAACAAGATAGACTGAAAGTGTGTATTGGGTCCCTGAGCAGGAATGAGCTTAGAGGTGGATATGTTCAAAGAACTGAAAGAAAGTAGGATCAATGAATGGGGAAAATTTAACAAGATGTGGTAAGATGATGCAGGGCCTTCATTTATCGCCAAGGTAACTGTATATACATGTTTGCCCAGAACTGTCCTAGTTTAACCATATTTTCCTGGAAAAATTGTAATAGCACACTCCCTTTCACTTCAAAAAATGTCCTGGATTGGTTAATAAATTATAGCATCATACCACAAAGATAGTCCTTGTTAAGGAATTTGAACTGTATTCTGAATACTGTGGGAAGTAGTCTTTGTCCTTATTTTGTATTAGTGTGGAAAGCGGATATCTTATTGTCTCAAACTTTATCATCTAGCTACTCTCTCATTTCTTTCCCTAGGTGAACCTTAGAAAGTTCTTCCTGAATTGGGTCCAAAGGTTATCCAGCCTCAAAAGAACAGATAAAAGCCTATTTCTGCCTTTTCTGAGTCACGTGATGTTCTCTACAAGATGGCTTCTCTCTGCCTGAATTTCTCATCCAGCAATCCAGTTAGGCTGTAAGCAATCTTGCTATGTTGTTATAAACTATGCTCTGTGTATTAAATATTCTTGCTTATGGCACTTCTTTTCAAATCTTTTCTAACTTATTTTGACTGATCTTGTAGCCATCCAGTCTGCTGAAAATCTGCCAGCTGCTTTGTGACCTTGAGCAAGTTTCTGAACCTTTCCTGGGCCTCTTTTCTTATTTGTAAAATTGAGCTACCATGGACTGAGTGGCTTAAACAACAGAAATTAATTTGCCACATTTCTAGAAGTCCAAGATCAAGATGCCCTCAGGACTGGTTTCTAGTGAGGCCTCACTTCCTGGTTTGTGGAGGGCTGCCTTCTCACTGAATCCTCAGAGGGCCTTTTCTCCATATGCACTCAGAGAGACAGAGGCCTCATGTCTCTTCCTTGTCTTATGAGGACACCAGTCATACTGGATTAAGACTCACTCTTACTGAGCGTGGTGGCTCACGCCTGTAATCCCAGCACTTTGGAGGCCAAGGCAGGCGGATCATGAGGTCAGGAGTTTGAGACCAGCCAGTTGGAGACCAACCCGGCTAACATGGTGAAACCCCATCTCGACTAAAAATACAAAAATTAGCTGGGCATGGTGGCACATGCCTGTAGTCCCAGCTACTCGGGAGGCTGAGGCAGGAGAATTGCTTGAACTCGGGAGATGGAGGTTGCAGGTCAGCTGAGATCATACCACTGCATTCTAGCCTGGGTGACAGAGTGAGACTCCATCTCAGAAAAAAGAAAAAAAAAAAAAGACTCACTTTTGTGACTCACTTAACCTATACTACCTTTTTATAGGCCATACTCCAAATACAATCACACTGAGGGTTAGAGCTTTAACATGAACTGGGGGGAGTGGGGACACAGTTCAGTTGATAACAGAGTATTATGAGTAATAAATGAGAAACTGCATGAAAAGCACTTTTAGAGTTTTATATTCTTTATTTCTATATATAAGATACTCATTGGAGAATTAAAATAGCATTTAACTATATTACAAGTGCAGCTACTATTTAAAACCTAAAGATGATGAATAAGATGAATATAATTTATAATAAAATAGCAAAATTGCATATATCTTAACTGTCTACGAGAAAAAAAAAAAACTTGCAATATGAGTTGGTTGCTTTATTATGCCAGAGCGTAGGGGGATATACTTTATACAAAATGACTCGGAAGAAAACAGTATCTTTGACACAAGGAATACTAAGTATATTTGAAAGAATAATCTAATACAATAATGTGTGATTATTGTCATTATCTGTTAATTCAGAAAAGAAAAATAACTTAATTTTTAGTGCCTTCACCACAGCCGACACAGTTATGATCTATTCAGTCTTGCTATTTTATCATAAACTAGATTCATCTTATACATCGTCTCTAGGTTGTAAATCGTAACAACATGAGCAACAGCTCGTGGACGCTAACATGCAGAGCTAGGTGGCACTCCATCATATTTAATCACAACTCCTGATTTTCTTGAAACCTAAGAATTTCACAGAGAGGAACTTGAATCTTGCCCATAATTGTGGTTTATAGACAGTAAGAAGGAGATGTTGATGAAAGTTGTAGCCAGAGAGAACAAGGATCCTGACAGGGCAGAAAATGCCACTTTAAGTGAAGTACTGAGCACAGACACTACCACCACCTCCCTCCCTGGCCTGAGACAGGAGAAAGCTATGGATATGGAAAGCCTTTTAAAAAATGACAGAGACAGGTGGGGCACGGTGACTCACGCCTCTAATCTCTGCACTTTGGGAGGCCGAGGTGGGCGAATCACCTGAGGTTAGGAGTTCTAGACCAGCCTGGCCAGCATGGAAACCCCATCTCTACTAAAAAAAAAACACACACAAAAATTTGCCGGGTGTGGTGGTGCATGCCTGTAATCTCAACTACTTGGAAGGCTGAGGCAGGAGAATTACATGAACCTGGGAGGCAGAGGTTGCAGTCAGCCAGGATTGCACTACTGCACTCCAGCCTGGGCAACCGAGTGAGACTCCGTCTCAAAAAAAAAAAAAAAAAAAACAAACGAAACCAGAAACAAAACAAACCACCACCACCAAAACATCTTTACTAGTGTGAATCCCAAATATCTGAGATGGTCTCAGTTACTTTAAAAAGTTTGTTTTGCCAAGGTTGAGGATGCACACCCGTGAGACAGCCTCAGGAGGTCCTGAGAACATGTGCCCAATGTGGTTGGGGCACAGCTTAGTTTTATACATTTTAGGGAGGCATGAGACATCAACCAATATATATAAGATGTACATTGGTTCAGTCCAGAAAAGAGGAGACAACTGGAAGCAGGGAGGAGACTTGCAGGTCACAAGTAGGTGAGAGACAAATGGGAGCATTCTTTGATTTTCTGATAAGCCTTTCCAAAGGAGGCAACCAGATCTGCATCTGTCTCAGTGAGCAGAGGGATGACTGAATAGAATGGGAGGCAGGTTTGCCCTGAGCAGTTCCCAGCTTGAATTTTCCCTTTAGCTTAGCAATTTTGGGGTTCCAAGAGTTTCCTTTCACACTAACAATTCAAGTATTTCCGTTCTGAGAAAAGAACAAGGACTCTCCAGTGGAAATACCACTTTCTTGCTTTTCCCAGTATTCCCATAAGAAGCCCTAGTTTCCTAAGGCAAGGAGATGAGTCTGATATGCAGATAGGGAGTGTTTGCTTTGACTTCTCCTGAAGCATTTTACTCTTCATATACTAGAAGTAGCTCTATTTCTGATTTGAAAAGAGAACACTTTTCCTGTCTTCCTGAAAGCCAAATGGTTACAGCTAGACTGGGTCCCTAAGTAAAGTCCCAAAGTATCAGGAGGACTGGAGCACTATCTTCTAGGTATTTACATAGCAAAAGAGATGAATCTCGAATTTAGGAGATGACTTTAGATTATAAAAGCCAGGATCTGGGTTTATCTAGAAAGACATTTACATTCCCAAAGGTTAGGGTGAGAACCTAGCACTCTTTCCATTCCATTTCTTTTTCCTTTTTTCCTTTTTCTCTCTTCTTTCCTTCCTTCCTTCCTTCCTTCCTTCCTTCCTTCCTTCCTTCCTTCCTTTTTCTTCCTCTTTCCTTCCTTCTTTCTTTCTTCCTTTTTCTTTCTTTCTTCCTTTTTCTTTCTTTTCCCCTCCCTCCCTCCTTCCCTCCCTCCCTCCCATCCTTCCTTCCTTCCTTCCTCTCTTTCTTCTCTCTCTCTCTCTCTCTCTTTCTCTTTTTCAAGTTCTCCCACTGTCACCCAAGCAGGAATGCAGTGGTGCAATCTTGGCTTACTGCAGCCTCTGCCTCCTGGGCTCAAGCGATCCTCTCATCTCAGCCTCCCAAATATCTAGGATGACAGGCATGTGGCACCACACATGGCTTATTTTTTAAATTTTTTGTAAATATGAGGCCTCACTATATTACCCAGACTGGTCTTGAAACTCCTGGGCTCAAGTGATCCTCCCACCTCGGCCACCCAAAGTGCTGGGATTATGGGCCTGAGCCACCATGCCCAGCCTCCATCCTATTTCTAAGGAACAAATATTTTGGTTTTGTTCTCTCTCCTCTTAGGATATGAGTAGGCAGGTCATCTCTCTTAAGTATGTAAAAGAAGAAAATCTATAGTTCTCTTTTTCTTACCTGGGGAGTGTCTGGCCACTCATGAAGGAGATGTTTCCAGCTGCTTTCATCCCTTTGTTCCAAGGTAAGTTTTGGGGAAATGGTCCAATAATTTATTATTTACTGTAAACTAATTAACAACAGGGCTGTCTTGGATTTACAATACTCATGTGCACATTCAAGATGAATTAACCAAAATAAATATTAAGAACCCAACATCACCTCTACTCTGCCTTGCCGAGAATAGCACTGAAAGAAAAAGTGTTTTCCTACTTAATGATGATAGTAGTGAATACAGATGACTAGATCTAGAGGCAGATGTGGCCAGGGCCATAGGGGACAGGTGCAGACATAGAAGATGACCAAAAGGTACCAGAGCAAGAGGGCATCCATGCCACTCTATGGGAGATCTAAGTCACAGGATGGGCGTACCATTAACTAGAGTGTCCCAGACTGGTTCTATAGTATATGGGCTAACAGAGCTTTCAGAGAGAATTACTGACAGTGTTTCAATTATTTTGGGATATCTAGAAGGATGTAAGAAATGGGATGTACGGAGGCCCTTTACTATGCAGATGAGAGCTATTGTTAGGAGCTAGCTCTTAGAGGTAATAAACTTACCAGTAATCTATAAAGATGAAACCTAGGGGACCTCTTTTCTTGTTCCTTCTAACTGAAAAACTATTTACATTTTTATACCAAGTATATGAAGAAAGAAAAAGAGGTAGGATGTTGAAGAAAAATCTCAGAAGGAAAGGGTCAGAAGAGGAAGCTGAACGAATGAGGTAAATGCTAGAATAGCTGGTTTTTACACCTATAGCTTGACAAATAAATGCACTAAACTGAAGTTCTATATAAAGCTCAACAGCTTTGTGGCACAATGAAAAAGAGTAGGTACAGTCAAAGCATATACATTCTTCAATATAAACTTACAGAATATCTGTATGGAATCCTTATTTAGAATCCAGAGAAATACTCCCAGGTAAGAGGTAGTAGAGATAGATGCTTACTTTGTCATTTGTTATATACTATTATTGATCTTTTAAAGTGAAGGTTTGGCTTCTTCATATGTTTACCATTTTGTGAGTCATTTTGCTGCCTACACTCATAATGCATTCTCAGATGTTGACTCAGCCCTGCTATTTTAAGTAGAGCTATTTAGTAGAGACCTGCAAAGAAGAATTATCTGTTAGGGACTGTCATTATTGCCTAAATAAAAGTAAAATATTTAATGATTGCAAATGATTCAAGGTAACTTTTTAGATAATGTAGTATAAGAATGGCCATTTTTATTTGTAGTCTACATTCAGCCCACGCAATGCTTTTGTTCACTCACTGTGTTACGAGAATTAAATAAGATAATGTATTTTTAAGTGATTTGGAAACAAATATGTATATATATATACGCTAATAGAATTATTATTCCTAAGTGCAATAGTATTAGACT